AATGGTGATTTTAGCCCAATGTATGCCGGAGCTATCAAGGTTCAAAGAGGACCAAGATTTCAAGACTTTTCCATTCATTTCAATGGGGCATTTTTTGTTGAAAAAAGCTGAATTTATTAAAAAGTATAAATGATACAAACAAGAAAAATACAAGCAAGCATATCTTTAAAAAGCGGAACATTTTGATACCTGCACGTAAACGGCAAGGCGTGTAAACCAACACTGAATGCCCGTGACCTTCAATTCCTCAGGCGGCATTGCATTAAAAACAGACATCATTCTGTGAAGGATATTACCATGTGGGCTCAGGAACACTTTGTAAAACCACTATCAGTTAACACAGTTGGTCGCAACATCTACAAGTGCAAGTTAAAAGTCTACCATGCAAAGCGAAAGCCATACATTAACACCCAGAATCGCCGCCGGCTTCTCTGGGCCCGAGCTCATCTGAGATGGACTGATGCAAAGTGGCAAAGTGTGCTGTGGTCTGACAAGTCCACATTTCAAATTGTTCTTGGACATCATGGACATCGTGTCTTCCAGGCTAAAGAGGAAAAGGGACATCCAGATTGTTATCAGCTCAAATTTCAAAAGCCAGCATCTGTGATGGTATGAGGGTGTGTTAGTGCCCATGGCATGGGTAACCTGCACATCTGAGAAGGCACCATTAATGCTGAAAAGTACATATAGATTTTGGAGCAAAATATGCTGCCTTCCAAGGAATGTCCTGTTCAGGGACGTCTCTGCTTATTTCAGCAAGACAATGCCAAGCCACATTCTTAGTAAATGAGTCCAGGTACTAGACTGGCCTGTCTGCAGTCCAGACTTGTCTCCCATTGAAAATGTGTGGCGCATTATGAAGTGCAAAACACAACAACACAGACCCCAGACTCCTGAGCAACTAGTTAGAATGGCAGGTCAGGTTTTAACTGTTAGAACAGTTAATGGGTGCAACAAAGATGAATTAGTCTCGAGTTTAATCAGTAAAAGGTTAGTTTGTTACAGCAAAGATCATTATCCAGCCTTCTCTGGTGATGGCAAGATAAACTGGGCCCATTACAACCATGGCCTCTTTCACAATAATTGTACCTTTAGGGGAAAATGTAGTTTCATCACTTAGCATAAACTAAGTTCACAAAACATTTTGTTAGTGTAGCCCACCTGACTCACCAGAATTACAGGGAGGGCTCTGAGTTCGGTTAATCAGTAGAATAACTATGTAAAAGTGATGTCTAGAGAGTCTTGC